AGCCGGGATTTAAAAATGGCGGCTCCCCGCTTATGCAAATGAAGCCCGGGAAATTCAAATCCCGGGCTTCATTTGCAAGTGCGGTATGCCTACATTACCCTCCTAGTTCGAACTAGGAGGGTAGTGTAGACATACCCTTTAAGATGCCTCCCAAGAAGTTGTCTGGTTCAGAGTATCGTAAAAGAAAATCGAAGAGAGAACTAGAACTTCAGGAAAGTGGGAAATGTTTAACTGAATATTTAAAAACTGCTCAGAATATTGACTCTGCTTTGGCCAGTGGAAATGAATTCGAAAATGAATCTGTTTCTGTTCCCTCAGTTTCTGTAGAAGTTTCTTGTGCAGAATCTGATTCACTTTCCAAGTTTGAAACAGAAAGTAAAATAGAACATTTTTCGACTTCTGCTATGTCAGATGTTAATGAGGTTCCTGACATTAATTATGATGATCCTGCTAGGTGGCTTGTTGCACTTAATTCGGCAGTCAGTGATCATATTGTGTCGTGGGGTGTATGTGCAAAAATAAACAAAGTGTTTATATATCCTTGCCTAATTTATGGATATCACTGAGAATCTTGCTAACAATACCAGTAACAGTTGTTGCATGTGAGCGCAGTTTTAGTAAACTTAAGTTCATTAAAACGTATTTGCTATCATCCATGTCAAATGAATTTTTTGGCATTATTGATTGAAAATGCTACTGCTCAGAAAGTGTACATGTTAGAAAACATTAAAAGTTTTGCCAATTTGAAAGCCAGAAAAAAGAACTTTTAAAAATATATTGAATAAGGTTTTGTAATTCCAATCCATGTAAGTTACCTCTATCATTCATTTCTTAGATACAGGAACACTGTGAAAGATAAGTTAAAATGTAATGTTCTGAATTAAAGATAATTCAGAAATGTAATAAATTCCTTATTTTGAATAAAAACAATTTACTGTTTACAATTATTGTTAATAGAAAATACCTAAAAAATAAGTATTGAACTTAAAAAAACCAATAATAAATGTCGAGAATAAATGTATTTATAGAGTATCTGTTTGAAGGGGCACCAAATTATTAGCCTGCCCAGGGCGCCCACATGTCTCAGTCCGGCCCTGAACCTAGAAGATAGTCCAGGCCCCAGGCAGTACTCGATGTTTAGATGAGCAGCATTATAGAAAACATAAGGGCTTGTCTAAACACAGAGTTGCACTGGTTTAACTCATGGTGTAATTTTAATTGGTGCAGTGGTTGCCCGGATGCACTTACTTTGGTTTAGCTCTATTAGGAACTGATCGAGGCTAAATCAAAATAAACCACTTCTTAAACTGATAGTTTTTTACACAGGGATTTGCCCTGATTTCTCTAAATCAGTTTAATTAAACTGATGCAAGCTCACGTATAGACAAGCCTCTGAGCAGGGGCGGATGATAATTTTGCAGGGTCTAGGGCTGCGCCACGGGGCCTGGGGATGCACAATTTTGCGCATGCACCTCGGCAGCAGCTGACCGGAAGTAACGTTTCATGCATGTGCCTCGGCAGCAGCCGACCGGAAGTAGAGTTTTGCGCATGCGCCTCGGCAGCAGCCGACCGAAAGTAGCATTTCGCGCATGCGTCTCAGCAGCAGCCGAATGGAAGTAGCGTGCGTGGGGCCTATTGAAGCGCTGGGCCCGGGGCAGCCGCCCCGCTCACCCTGCCCTATATCCGCCGCTGCCTCTGAGAAATCATCTTATAAAAATGTTGCAGGAACTCCTGCAGGATCCCGTATGCTCAGCAGTGTCACTGAGGATCAAAACCTTTTTATCTTGCACCACTATAGGAAGAGCTTCAAAATGAATCCACCAGTAGGATGGCTGTGAGTGGTCAGCCACACACGTAGGTGATAATAACATTTTTTAAAATCTGCTACAGCTACAGAATGTATTACTTTCTAATCTACTGAAAGGACATTCTGTTCCTCTGACAAGTATGTTATGATCTTTTAAAACTATAAAATCCATTCTTGGCAGGATGCACAGGATTTCACGTATAACTAAAAATTATTTTCCACTTATACTTTGTTATAACATGCAAGCATAACTGAGTTACTTTGGGAAGAGACTTTTTGGCCAGCTTTTTCCCTGTCTTTGTGACAATTACGTCTACCTTTCTCAACATACGGAGAGTACATGGGCCTCAGGCTTACAGCTGCACTCTTGCCAGAATGTTCAGTTGCTTAGGCTATGTATATTTTGTGTGAAGTGATCACAACATGGAGAGATTGCATGCTCCAGATTCCAGAACTCCTATGCAAGCACCAGTTGAAAGTGCATTTCCCGTTTGTCAGTGTGCTTCATGTTAAGGGACCTGTTGACGCACTGTTCTTTTGCAGTGCTACTCCAGTGTTTGCACAGCATGTCACTAAACCCAAGGAAATTTTCTGACCATTTCTTTTCAAACTCCTGCTTCTCAGAGTCTGGACCAACTCCATAAAACATTTGCATAGGCTATTGGAATGTGAGTTTCTTAATTTTATTTTCCTTTTGATCTGTTCAGTGGTTTTTGCTATAGCATGTTTATGGCAATTGGTTTTTGCTTTGTGATTTCTAAAGCTTGGTCAGTAACGTAATAATTCTGTGGAACAGGCATATTAATTAGATTTTTTTCTCCTTACAGATTTTGTTGTGGTATATTTTGTCATTATGAGATGTCGTCTCTCAGTGCTTCATTTGTGCAAATTAGATTTGATGACTTGCAGTTCTTTGAAAGCTGCGGCGGAGGGAGTTTTGGGAGTGTTTATCGAGCCCGATGGATATCACAAGACAAGGAGGTGGCTGTAAAGAAGCTGCTCAAAATAGAGAAGGAGGTAAGATTTCTTATTTTTTCTATTATGAAATAAATTACTATAAATTAATATCTAAATATTTTCCACTCTGTTGCTGATCAAGGAAGACCTCCTTGAGATCTGTTTGTTTGTTTGAGTTATATAAGCAAGATGAAAGGTTGTTATTAGAGTTTAAACATACTGGCTTTGTCTACACTGGCATGAATTTCCGGAAATGCTTAAAACGGAATACTATTCCGTTTTCAGTTTTTCTGGAAAAGGAGCGTCTACTTTGGCAGGCTGCTTTTCCGGAAAAGCCCTTTTCCCGGAAAAGCGTGTGTTGCCAATGTAGACGCGCTTTTCTGGAAAAGAGCCCCGATCGCCATTTTCGCGATCGGGGCTTTTTTCCGGAAAAGACTACTGGGCTGTCTACACTGGCCCTTTTCCGGAACAGTGTTCCGGAATAAGGACTTATGCCCGAGCGGGAGCAGAATAGTTTTTCCGGAATAGCGGCTGATTTTGTACAGTAGAGCATCGTTGCTCGGCTGATTTTGTACAGTATAGCATTGTTGCTTTTCTGGAAATTCAAGGGCCAGTGTAGACAGCTCACAGCTTATTCTGGAAAAGCGGCTGATTTTCCGGAATAAGCGGCCCAGTGTAGACACAGCCACTGAGTGTCGTCTTTGTCGATCCCCTAGGTTTTTCTTCCTTCCCTGCTTTTTTCTACTGTTTCCTCTTTCCCCTCTCAGCACTTCTTTGCCATGGTGACCCTCTGGAAGAGAAGAGAAAGGTGCATATTGTGGGATAATTCAGTACTGTTGGCCAAAGAGATCACCAACAAGAATTGCAATCTCTTCTTAACCTTCTGCTGTATGATTAAGGGCACAGCCTTCATCCTGCACCCTCTATGGTGTATTTCTTCATAGTGAGCCCTCCCCAACTCTTAGTTGGTTATTTGACTCCCCTCATGTCTGCACACTACAACCTCATCCAGGTGAAGTGGTACTTTCAACTCAGGTTATGCTGAGCTAGCTGGGGATGCAAGTTAGAGACTAGGTTACACTTTCAGTCTCAACTTCACAGACACCCTGGCTACGTCTAGACTACATCCCTTTTTCGTAAAAGGGATGTAAATTAGACATATCGCAATTGCTAATGAAGCAGGGATTTAAATCTCCCCCGCTTCATTAACATACAAATGGCTGCCGCTTTTTTTCCGTACGGAGCTTTGTCGCAAAAAATCCCTTATTTCATAGAGGGATAAGGGATCTTTCGGAAAAGGCTTTATTTTCCACAAGATCAGCGTCTAGACTGGCGCTTTTTTCCGACAAAGCTCCGTGCGGGAAAAAAAGCGGCAGCCATATTTATGCTAATGAAGCGGGGGAGATTTAAATCCCCGCTTCATTAGCAATTGCGATATGTCTAATTTACATCCCTTTTACGAAAAAGGGATGTAGTCTAGACGTAGCCCCTTAATATAACTAAGCAGGTTACTAAGAAGATGGCCCTTTCCCCCTTGTACAAAAGATTCTTAGAAGTTTTAGGAGAAGAAACATTCTATAAAAAGTCTTATTTGCAGATACTAGATGGAAGGAAAAACAGTTCCTGTAATGAGCTGATTAAACAATATTAATATCATATTTCATCACATACACCTCCCAGAAGGAAGATCCAGTCAAGGCTGGCACCAAGTGTCTTTAATATATATAAACTACAAGCAAAAGAACACCTCTATTTTTAGTCCTGTCTGCCTCATGAAAGTCATTTGCAATTCCTACTCTTGTGTCCCAGGACTTGTCTCCCTTACTGCGTGGATTGACGCCGCGGTGATCAATCCATAAGGGTCATTTTAGCAGATCTAGTGAAGACCTTTGGATATCAACTCCAGCATTTCACCAGAATGAGAGAAGTAAGGGGATTCAATGGGAGAGTTTTACCTATCGACCCAGCATGGTGTGGACCCTGCAGTAAGTAAATCTAAGTTATGTCAACTTGAGTTATGCTACTAATGTAACTCAAATTGAATAGCTTAGAGCAGGGGTTGGCTACCTTTTTCAAAACAAACAGCCAACCTACCGCAAAATTAAGAAGAAGTGGTCAACAAAGAGCCATGTGAGAATGCCCATTTGCGTGACTGAAAATATACAACTTAATAATATTTGTTATTGATAATTGGTTAATAATAGCATTGATAAATGGTTAATAATAGCATAAATGAAACATTGTACTCATGGACTTTATGTAATGGTACTTCTGCTGTTGCATATTTTCACACATTTCTTTGAAGTTTACATCATAACTGGTCAAATCCAGCTTAATGCATGTATTCAGGCTGTCTTCTATCAATCTTATGGCTGGTGACATGGGGGTGCAGGAGTCTGGGTTGGGATGTATGAGGGGCTCAGGGTATAGGGTTAAAGTGTGTGAGAGTTTTAGGGCAGGGGGGCTGGGGATAGGAGTGGCTCAGGGCAGGAGGTTCATGTATATGATGGACTCAGGGCACAGGGTTGCGGTATGGAGGGTTCAGGAGTGTTATGGCAGGGGTCTGGCAATGTGGGGGTGCAGGAGTCTGGGTTGGAGTGTATGAGGAGCTCAGGACATTGGGTTCATATCTATGATGGGATCAGGGCACAGGGTTGTGGTGTGGGGGGTGAAGTAGTGTTATGGCAGGGGATTGTGGGAGGTGCAGGAGATAGGGCAGGGCACTGAGGGTGGGATAAGGGGGCCCTGGTGCTGGATTACCTTACCTGGCTGGGGCTGGGCTGCTGCACCTAGCAGTGGCTGGATGAAGGGTCGGGTCAGGATTGCTGCAGCCGAATTATGGCCTCCCCTACTATCCATGCCACAGCAGGGGGGATAAGGGGTTGCCAGCCCTTCCTGCAGCCAGATAGGGGCCGGATTGGGGCTGAGGAAACGACACTGCCCGATTGTGGGCTTGTTGGCTCCAGATCCAGCACATGGAGCCTGCTCTGGGAGCACTCATGCGACCACCACCAGCTTCCCCAGGGCTAGGGCTGGCAGAGTGGGACAGACAGCTTGCTCTGCCTGAAGAAGTGAGTTGTGCCATGAAAGCTCATGATATTCTCTGTATCTTTGGATAGTCTCTATGATGCTATAGGACCACTCCTTTTTAAAGATTCTTTTGCATTGAGAGTAACCAGATTTCAAAGACAACAGCATCAGATCTAGTGAAAACATGTTTTTATACTTGATGCTCAACAAAACTAAAACACATTATCCAGGCATGACTGACAGAATAAAACACAGAGAATTATTTACACTCTCAAAATTAACATTTTTGATTCACAGGTAGTAAGACTGGCGAATCACTAGGTCTCCAGAAATATTTTTCAGTAATAGTTTGGTTTAATTTTCTTTCCTTTTAGTTGCAATTGCAAGTATTTACCATCAGAATTTATACTGTAACTTGTACAGTACCATTAACTTTGATTATGGATGCTACAATAATTGTATTTTCTTAATGCTGGCGTGCTGCATAAAACTGAATGATCCTTTGTGGGTATTAGTATTTTTGTTATAAAAAACAATGTTAATATAGGCTTGAAACCAAGTAAACAAATTAAACATACTGCTATTGTCCATCAATCGTGTAAGGATATTTTGCAAGGTTTCAGAGAACTGTTAAAGAACAGTGATGTTAAAAATAAATCAAAGCATTTTTCAGGCAAAATTCACCAAGAAAATCTGAATAATGTATCAGTAGTTAAATCTAAAGCTAGTTAAACCTTTCTAACTTGCAGAGGCTCTCTACTTGCTGTTTTACTGGTTGGCAAAAACAGAATTTCACATTATTTCCCCCCAACATTAACAGTTATATCTGTAATCATCACAGTCTGCTAAAAAGATATTTATGGACATGAACTGCATCTCAGCAACTTTAAAATATAAAAACATATTTCTGATTACATGCATAGTTTCTGAGAACAGTTACTCAAAACCCCCACAGTCTCAATAAGCTGCGATGAATAATGACTGAACTGCACAGTTCATAGAATCATAGAATAATAGGACTGGAAGGGACCTCAAGAGGTCATCGAGTCCAGCCCCCCGCCCTCAAGGCAGGACCAAGCTCTGTCTACACCATCCCTGACAGATGTCTATCTAACCTGTTCTTAAATATCTCCAGAGAGGGAGATTCCACCACCTCCCTTGGCAATTTATTCCAATATTTGACCACCCTGACAGTTAGGAATTTTTTCCTAATGTCCAATCTAAACCTCCCCTGCTGCACTTTAAGCCCATTACTCCATGTCCTGTCCTCAGAAACCAAGAGGAACAAATTTTCACCTTCCTCCTTGTGACACCCTTTTAGATATTTGAAAACCGCTATCATGTCCCCCCTTAATCTTCTTTTTTCCAAACTAAACAAGCCCAGTTCATGAAGCCTGGCTTCATAGGTCATGTTCTCTAAACCTTTAATCATCCTTGTCGCTCTTCTCTGTACCCTTTCCAATTTCTCCACATCTTTCTTGAAATGTGGCGCCCAGAACTGGACACAGTACTCCAGCTGAGGCCTAACTAGTGCAGAATAGAGCGGCAGAATGACTTCACGAGTTTTGCTTACAACACACCTGTTAATACAACCTAGAATCATATTTGCTTTTTTGGCAACAGCATCACACTGTTGACTCATATTCAACTTGTGGTCCACTATGACCCCTAGATCCCTTTCCGCCATGCTCCTTCCTAGACAGTCGCTTCCCATCTTGTATGTATGGAACTGATTGTTCCTTCCTAAGTGGAGCACTCTGCATTTCTCCTTATTAAACCTCATCCTGTTTACCTCCGACCATTTCTCTAACTTGCTAAGGTCATTCTGAATTATGTCCCTATCCTCCAAAGAAGTTGCAACCCCACCCAGTTTGGTATCATCTGCAAACTTAATAAGAGTACTCTCTATCCCAATATCTACATCATTGATGAAGATATTGAACAGTACGGGTCCCAAAACAGACCCTTGAGGAACTCCACTTGTTATCCCTTTCCAGCAGGATTTAGAACCGTTAACAACAACTCTCTGA